GCAAGATGTGACCGCCTGGCGATCGATATTGCTATGCGCACATCTCGCCACGCGCTCGAATTGGGCAGTAGGCCGGCCTAAGACAACGATTTTTAATAATTAATTACTCGTTAACTATTACGAAAATTGCAAAATGGTACAGAACTTTTCCATTCATCTCGATCCGTTCTGCCTTCTCAAAAATTTTGTCGGATATGGAAAGACTCACTCTGTATATTAGATATTAGATTTATAAAATACATATTGCAATAGTTTATATGCAATTATACATTAACGCAGATGTTTGCAAATAAAATTCGAATTGGTCAACCAATTCTTGCGCGATAACTTGTCAATGAAAGAGATGAAAGTAGGCATTTTTAAAATGAAAGATTATGCCAAAATCGTGGATGCCAAGCAACGTAAGCAGACTCTTTCCATGAAGACGATATTTCGATGGCGACAGCGAGTGCAACCTCGAATGAAAGTTTCTATATTCGAGGAGCAAGTCGTATCTCAGAATGAATCTCACTTTCCATCTCAGGTTACAACACAATTTCAAAGTGTACCACGGATTCGTTCTCAAAGACATAAATTCACAACGACACAATGTCAGAGACGTAAACATTTATTACAAGTAATCAAGTGAGTACAGGCGATTATTACGTGTAATTATTATATGCTGTTATGAAGTGAACCTTTTAAAAAGAAAAAAATATATAAGGCAAGACATTCTGTTATCCCTTTTTCTAAGTAAAAATCGATTCACATTTGGTCGTTAACATATTCATACTTTGCGATTTCATGAAAACGCTTACAAATATTTAAATAAAATTTCTTGAAAACTTGTTGAGAAATGAAAAGCGGTTTTAAATAAAAGTATTTCTGATTACCTGTGAATGTTTCTAAGACAGGTGCACTTGGAGTTGTGCAGAGTATCAAAACTATTATGCACTATTCTCGGAGTACAGGTAGCGTGGGAGATAGGAATAATTATCATGGCTCTCACTGGAACTCTGTATAATTTGTGCGTTCGATACGTTATGAACCAACAGAAAGTCAAGAATGTCGTAGAACAGACGTTCGTGTTGGTGGCTGTGTGTTGTCTTCACATTGTTAAAGCCGTGATTTTGAATTACGGTTGCAAGAATGCGGCTTATGAGGTAAACCCGTCTGTCATCGTCCAAGTAAAGACCTTGATAAGACAACTTGTACATAACATTTATTTGCAGGGAAACAAAACCATCGAGATCATTCATGCGATTTATGATTGCGACACAGATATGCAAGAGGAGGTTTGATAGTCGCAGCCTAACATAATTTGTGTTATTTCCTTGTATTGTGTAATTATATCTCGCAATTGTTTCAGATTCAACAGTTTGGCATTCAAATTTTGCAGAGTCCAGTGACATTCTCCGCGTTTGGTCTCACTCTGGATAATCGTGTCTTAAGCATGGTTCGTGTCAAATTGTTACGTATAAGTTGTTGGCGTCGTATCAACAATTTGCTATAAAACGACAAAATTGATGTAATTAAAAATATTCAGTAGTGTCCTTCTCACATTTTTATAAATTGCGTGGAAATTAGTTTTCTAATTTTAGCCTCGATCTCATTATAAATGCATTATACTTAACTTTTCTTGTTTATAGATTTTGAAAACTGTTACAATCTACATAGTTATCGTATTGCAAGTGAGCAATTCGCTGGAATCGAACAATGCTATAGAGTATTCACATTTTGAAGAGTTGTAGATATTATTAGTTTATTCATTCCGATGAATTTACAGCACAGTTCGAGCCTTGGTCTTTTCGAACTTCACTTTCTAGATCCTTATCCGCCGGTAATAGCCTGCAGTTTTTCACTCAAAGAAATATCTGGTAACATTTTTTCTGATAACTTTCTGATAACATTGTCCTATCTCGTTTTCGGCTTCCTTCCCTCTTTTACCAGGTCTCTACGAACCTTTTGGGGGATTCTTTTCGTTTGTATTCGCTGCACTTATATTGCTTATTTGGTGAGAAATAAATTACATATCTCACGCAAAAACAATTCTCACGTTTAATTTATTCCTTAATTTATCACAACCTTCCGACTTTCCTTCAGTCCGCCTTTACATTACTCTGCCATTTTCCACGAATAGTTCAATCAAGATAACGTAAAAATTTCCGCGCTTAAAGAATAAAAGTTTTTACGTAACAGAGTAATGTTTTTTCACAAAATGACACATTCCAGCAGTACGTTAGTTCGATGTATTTTAGATTTGTGTATAATAAAGATATAGTGTTATATTTGTTCATCGCCATCAGTTGCTTTTTTTCAAGCAGTTGGATATTTAGTAACGAGCCATGCGGTCTTCCGCTGGTAATTATCTCCTTCCGGAATATGTGAGTTGTCGCGTGTAGATTCTAATGATATTACGAGATCCCTGCCCGGTCATTTGTACATACAATAAATTGCTTATTGCTTCCCCGGTATAGTTGACTTTTAATAGATATATACATATAATCGTTTCAAAGGCCATCGGGCGGGGCTTATATGCGCACGTTCATGAAGCACACCCCTGTTTTTCATATTATTGTTAGGAACTAAAGTATGTTCCTTCGTCCATCAACGGAGGTGGATCATCGACTTGTGAACGACTGAAGAAACGAAAAGTCAGCGAGGAAAGACAGTGAATCGTGTCCATGTCCTAACGGAATCATTTTCGCATCGGGAAATATAATCTATAGAGAGAGAGAGAGAGAGAGAGAGAGATTTGACGAGATGAAACTATTTGCGCGTCCTAAATGTTTTTCGGAGGCTATAGCACCGGTGACAACTATCAACTGTATATTGGGATTTCGTGTTTTTGAGTATCCACATGGAAATTCAAGACCTGTACTCAGCTTGATGTATCTCTCATTTATTTACATCATATTTTGCAATGGCATGTTGCATGTGCACGAGAATTACTATGCAAATCTTAAACTAATGAAGCTGGAATATGTCCTGTATCAATTATTGGCGTATATCTTTTCTACATCTGTGATAATACAGATGTTGCTAGGCTGGTGGCACTCAAAGGTAGGAATGTAAAATAATATATGATACCTTACAGAGTTGTATTGTAGTGCGTTCATAATGTGCAAATCGTACAATTTTAAATGTATTAGAACATTAGTATATTGGAACAATATGCGACTGTGTAAGTTATAACATTGTCTCATTATAAATTAACATTTGTAGAAGCTTAAAATTTGTCACAAAAGAATTTTCGAGCTCGATGAAACGTTGCGACAGCTGGGGCTGACGGTGAATTATGACGGAATATATTTCGTGACGATCGGAACCGTAGCTGTCTGGATTATATTCGTCTTCACTTTGTGCACCATAATTTTCTTACACTTGCTCATACGCACAGACATATTTACTTCAATTTACCTCATAATGATATATATATATTTGTTCACTGCCCGCATTATTAATGTGTTCGAATTCTACATGTTTGCAAGGTATGCAAATTTATTCTTTAAATAATCAAAAAATGAATGTACTTATCAGATGTGTTCACTAATTAATAAGTGAAATAGTCGCTTTTGTACTTCTTAACATAAATTGGTTTCCTGTAATTTTGTTTTTTATTATTAAATATTAGATTCTGATTTATTATTTGATTTGAGGACATAAGGAAAACTAAAAAATCAATCATAGATTTATAGTAGATTTTTAGTTTTTAAAGTTTTAAAAGTATTGTATATAAAATAATATTAAACATGCTTCTATATAATGATGCAGATGCTTAAAAATGAAATTTGAATTGGTCAACCAACTTCTGCGCGAGAGCTTGACAGATTTATCAAAGAAAAATAAGAAATTAGGCATTTTTGAAGTGAAAGATTATGCCAAAATCATGGATGCTGAGCAACGGAAGGAGATTCTTTCCACGAAGATGCTATTTCAATGGCGTCAGCGAATGCAACGTCGAATAAATGTTTTCATGTCAAAGAAACAAAATGCGATCGCATCTCAGACTGAATCTCACTTTCCATCCTATATCGCAAAACAACTTCCAAGTGCATCCCAGAATCAAAGACGCAATTCCATCATAACAAAATGTCAACAACATAAACATGTATTAAAAGTAATAAAGTGAGTATAGTCAATTATTAAGTACACTGTTACGAAGAAAACTCTAGAAAATTAAAAATGTGTAAGAGACAAATAGACATTTAGTTCGTATTTTTGATACGTACACTGAGAAAAATGTCCGATTAAATATAATCGGATAATCCAATTACATGATAACAAACGGATATGTCCGATTAAATTGTATATCCGATGAAAAATTTGATCGGTTTTTCAATCCAT